TAGAAACAATCCATCTTCTAGTTCTTAGGTTTATGTTAGGAGTAAGAAAAACATATCTAAATGATCTGTTTATTTCTTGTTTATGTCTTTTTCCTGTGCCTTTTATTTATCTTTGTTATCATGTTTCTTTCTAAGTTGGTTGCTCCAAACGTACTCAACTTGTTAATTGTAAGAGATTTTTTAAAGAACATAAGCTTGATTTACTATGTATTTTAGAAACCAAATTTTCCTCTTCTTTAACTTCTGAGTTAATTTTATATCTTTTCCAATAAAGGCAATATGGACAATTTCAGTCTTGTGGACAATGAGAGGATTTGGATAAAATGGGATAGAGATATTTTGAATTTTTCAGGTATAGAAATAAATTTTCAATATAAACATGGACATGTTTCTGATTTCTCTTCTAAAAATTTTTATATGGTTTCTATTTATGCAGCTAATAGTGTATTTATTAGGAAAGGTTTATGGAATTCTCTTGTTGCTATTGCTGATAATATGTCTTCTCCATGGATCTTACATGGGAAAATTCAATTGCAACCTCAAATTAGATGAGAAAATTGGTGGTTTATTTTGCTTACCTTGTAAGCTTTACGATTTTAACAATTGTATTTTAAATGTTGGTTTTATTGAGTTAAATAACTCTAGTTATTCCTTTAGTCGATATAACAATCAATTGAATAATCCCATTAGATGCTTATTGATAGAGCTCCTTGCAATGTTAATTGGATGAATTTATTTCTTGATTCTTTATTTAAAGTTTTCAATGGTCGTTCCTCTGATCACCATCTTATTCTCATTTCTTTTGGGCAATTCTTATAAATTGTATTAAAGATTTATGTATAAGAATTATTGAAAATTTTTCCCTTATTTTTTAAATATTTTTGTTAAATGAAATTTTATTTTTTCTATTAGCAATAAACTTCATAATGTTAGATTGGCTTTCAAGGGGGTGGCATTGAAATTCCTCTATTTTCTTATCGAGTTATAAAGTTGATCTTAAATGCTAATAAAATTGTAATATGGCTCAACTTGAAATATATCCTCTTTTTAAAGATCTTTTGGAACATGTTTCTTTAATCCTAATATTGTTTTTTGCGATTATAAATGAGCGAAATAAAAAGTTAAATGCTTTTTGTTAACTAAAGATGAGGATAATGTTAAATTTTTTTTATCAAAGAATTAAAGTTAGACAATTCTAATTTTATTAAAGAGATTTTTGTTAATAATAATTATATTCAAAGTCATAAGGCTATTGTCAGAGAAGCTTTTTCTTTTTCTACTAATCTGCTAAATGATTAAATTTTTAATGATCATTTTTAAGAGACTCTTTTCCTATTAATCATTCTATGAAGATGATACTTCTTTTATTGACTCAAAGTTTTCTAATAAGGATATTAAAATGATTTTATTTTATACTGATTCTAATAAAGCTCCTGATTTTGATGGCTTCACTTCTAATTTTTTTAAAGATACATGGGACATCTTGGCACTGACTGTATTTCTACTATTAATTCTTTTTTCATCAATGTCAAACTTTCTTATAGAGTTAAACATTCTACTATTGTGCTTATTCTTAAAAGTTCTGATGTGAAGACTTTCTATAACTATCATCCTACTTTTTTATGCAAACACTTTTTATAAAGTTATTATTTTGTTGACTGATAGACAAATAGATTCTCTTTAGAATCATTCATCCTCCTCAAACTGCTTTTATTAGAGGACATGAAATTGTTGATAACATTATATTAACAAATGAGCTTATTTATGATTTTAATTCCAGTAGTTTTACCAAAATTGATATCTCTAAAGCTTTTGATAATGTTAATAAATAGTTTTTGTATAAAAGCTTGCATAGGATTGGTATTTCTAATGTCTTCATTAATCAGATTGCTTCTTGCACTTTTGATATTACTTTTTTAAGTTATTATTAACAGTGAACTAAAAGGTTATTTTTATTTTTCAAGTTTTAGGCAGGGTTATCATCTCTCTTCTTAACTTTTTATTATCATTATGGAATCTCTTTTTGTTAAGTTTGATAATTAGTTGCCAAAAGATAATTATGTTGATACAATAAATCATTTGATTTGTGTTGATATTTTTATCTTTCGTAAAGTTGATTCTCTTCATATTAATTTATTTCTAATATCGTTAATAATTTTAGTAAAGCTTCTAATCTTTACATCAATTCGTTTAAATCTTTCATTGTTTTTTTCTAAAATTATTGATAGTAATCTTCAACAACTTATTTGTATTTTATGTGATTTTCTTGCTAGAGTTTATCTTGGGATTATTATGGTGTTACCATTAAACATTCTAAGTTAGTCAATATTTGTTGTCATAAATTTATTAATAAAATTCATATTTGACTTGTTGGTTGGAAGAAAAAACTTCTATTTGCTGTTGGTAGAGTTCAATTAATTAAATTTGTTATTGAGAGCTACTTATAGAATTGGTTTCATTTCATTTTACTACCTAAAGGTTTGAGGGAAAAGATTTCTACTTTAATTTCTACATTTTTTATTGATATTGAAGATAATAAGAAGCTTCACACCATTGATTGGACTAATATTACTTTGTCTAAGCATTCTAGTGGCCTTCATCTGCCTTCTCTAGACTCTATTAACATTATGTGTAAAATTAAAATTATTAGAAATTTTATAACTCCTATTTTTATCTAAGAGATCGGATTTTCAATTATTATGGTTCTTTCTGGTGTGCTGTTCATTCTATTTCTACTCATTTTTGGAACTTATTGGAATTGCTAATAAGTTTAAAAACGTCTACAGTTTCAAAGGTACTAATGATTGTCATTTGTTTTTTTTATTTTTTATTTTGACCCTTGGTTTGATGGTCTTTCTTAAAGAACATTTAGGTGATTCTTGGTTTAATTTTTCTCTTAATATGAAGCTTAAGGATGTTATTTAGATTGATTATTGGAATAACTTTCGAAATGTTAATGCTCCTGATTTTTGTATTGAAGCTATTTGTAAAATTCTTATTATCAATAGTCCTCAACTTGCTTCTTCATTAACTAGTTTCTTCCCGCTCTCCATCACTATCTTCTATTAAAATTGACTGAAGGGTGAGAATTTTGGAAATGATGATGAGAAAGTGCCGATCACGCCCTATTTAGAGGAAATACAAGAACGAAAATCTAGGGAGCTTAATTATTGGAAGCAGTTATTACACAATAAATAAATTAATATTTTCATTTAATTCTCTCATTCTTATTATACTTTTCACTTTCAAATAAGTAACAAAATCAAGATATTAAATGTACATAAAAAATATAACCACAAAAAATCTCAAGAAAATTCAACGGATCACATTAAAAGGATGCCAAAGGACTGCATCAGAACAGTCGAAGGACAAATGATTCAAACATCATTCCATTCGGTCGGATCATGGGTCGATCGAAGAAAAGCATATCCAAATGAAGTAGACATTATGCACTTGATCTGAGGGACGATCGTATATTATCAACCCCATTTATCAAACTATGAGATCCCACACAAAGAGAACCAACGGTCGCTTCCTAGAACACCTTAGCAACATTTTATGAAAATCTCTTAAACAAAGGAAAGTTGCCTGTCATATTACGTTGATGCACACTCTGCCTAACTTAAATAAGGTCTTTTGCGGAATGTTATCTCAAAAAAACCGCCCGACGACCATAAAGCCAAACAACTTTGGTCTGACCAAGCGATTACAACCGAATATTAGCGTCATCGTATCATTAATACCCCGCTTCAAACAGTTATAAATGTGAAACAGTGCCAATAACGGTTATGCATATCAAAGGATCTTATAGTCAGTTACAAATATGTAAATATATAATGACACATCAATCACTTGTAAAGTTTATATTTATACATGAACAAATATATAATTTTCTAAACATTCCCTATAATCTATAAATATGAAAGCCATTTCCTGAAGAGGAGCTCCAAAAAATGTGTTAAAATGCACTTTGTTTTTAATTCTTTTTCCCCTACTCTTTCCATCCGTCCAACGCTGTAACCCTTATGCGTCACCCATAGGATATTTTGGAATTTAACAATATATATACATTCAATGAGCTAAAATCAAAATTCATTAATTGTGACATAAATTCTTGCAACAACCTGCTAATATTTTGTGCGTTAATTTTAATTTTCTTTAAATTGCGTTATTTAATTTTATGAATTTAAAACAGATTTTTCTCAAAAAAAAATTTATGCAATAAACTACTTACGCTATTATAAATAATATAAGAAAAATATTTTTAGCTTATGATGTGAATAATTTATTTTTCTAAATATTATTTTACACCAATTCATTGTTTGCTCAGAAGATGCTATCATGTGTGCCTCTTAAATTATAAATATAAAGAAAAACAAAAAAAAAACACACTATTTTTTGGCACTACTCCATAGGTCCTTTTATGAACCATCGTGATATTGTACCCATTACCTGCAAATAGTTAGCTCCAAGAAAGGATTAGTTATAAATTCACTAGTGTAATTTGTAATCATTAAAATCATGAGGCTAAGTGGCCAACATGTGTCATTGGGCCTATGTTGGCTAATTCATTGAAGCTGTAACGAGCTAATTGAACCACACTTCTTTTCATGGTGCCTAAGGATCGCAGACAAGCAAGCCATGCATGATGCACACGTTAGCATATCAAAATAGTAAAGTTAAACAATATGATTGTGCCCTGTATTACAAAGATTATCACCGATCATGAACTTATCATAGGAAACCATAAAGAAGAAACAAACAGTTGAAATGTCGAAGTAAATTAACCAATATGAGAAAGCATAAATAACGCACAATATATGTTCTGTGAAACATAGCATTGTATAGTCGGAACTTAGTGCTTGTCACATAAACACAAGTTTACCCAATTTTTTGACATCAGGTTCAATTTCCACAGGGTACAGAATAGCATAAAAATTATTTGCTTTATCGATATTGAGGTGCAGGGCAAGTGTAGATATTTATTAACACAAAAGTCCTCGGCTATAAAATTATGTGATAGAAAAAGATTCAATTCAACCTCCACCAAGCATTCTAAACAGTAATCACACCGAAAGCAAGATTCGTATCAATTCTATTTTTAAATCTTAATAGGGGAAAATCTTGCAGTTCCTAAAAATTAAACATAAACTGTGCAAATGCAAACTAGGATTTATTAGAATTACACATACTCTAGGTAGAAAAAAAAAATGAAAAAGGTGAGAAAACGGCTTACATTAAATCAGAGGATTCTCTGTCAAAAAAATCCAGTGTATTCTGCCGCGGGAGGAGATTTTCAGACTACTAAAAGGATGGAGACTGGTTTTGTTTGGCATCAGTCCGGGAGTTTCAAACGGTCAAAAAGAACCATGAAACTCTGGTTAGGACTAGGGGGAATAAACACAAACCCTAGCTCCGTGCCTCTGATATGCGGCCCAAATCCCTGAGGAACAAATGAAAGTGGCAGAGGAAAACCAAAACTGGTACTTATAAATCAGAAATCATGATTTTTCAAGCTCTCCTCTATATGTTGTCTTTAAACGCGTCATGTTATCATTTCAATTAATAAAAAAGAACTCTGAAATAGTAAACATTCCAAGATGGGTCATTCAGAACTTTCAATAGGGCATGCAATTATGCAATTTCCATCGATTTAAAGCTTCATTTTGAATAAAGGACTCCCTAGGATCTCATTGCAATCAAAAGTTTGAACATAACGCTGGAATAAAAATTTACCTTGCCATTAAGCTGTACTAACAGGCCATCAACCCACTGAGGATTCTTGAATCCAGGCTCTGCTATTCTTCCCTGACCCTTGTAACTAGCAACCTACATCAAAAATCAATTGTTCAGTGTGGCGCACATGAAATAAAAGTAGATTAACTGGCTGGTTAGAATAAATTCCAAAACATAAGTTTCATAATTAAATAAGGGAAGACCACACATGCAGCAAACTTGAATCCAAAGATTTAAGTTATAGTAAAGAAGAGGAGCAATACCACACCAAGCTCCTCTGGGTAGGCTCCACGATTTATGAGACGATTTCCCTTGCCAATTTTGGCACGAAATGTAACCTATCAAAAATGAGTAAAACATTTATAATCATTGCTGAAGAAGAAATTTAAGTTACCCAAGAGATGGCAAAAAGAATGATACAAAGTTGATCACATGCCTGCCCCGCAGGAACGTTCAGATCCCCAGTCAATTTAACAGCTTCCACATACTCAAAAAACTCCATTTCTGAGTCAACTTCATCCAAGTCATTCCAGTGACCATATTTACGCCGTAGCTGTATTACCTCAGTGCCAAAGGGGCCAAAGGCTCCAACAAATAAACCTGCACTTGGAAAGACTTGCTAAGCTATACAAAATAGTACTGCATATAATGAGAACCTTTTACAGAAACTTACCCTCAAATGGATCTAGACAATTATTAAGTATTATCCGATTAAAAACAGTTGTCTTGGACAATCTGCTTCTTCTCTGAGTTTGGCTAACTGCAAATTTAACCACTTCTCGAAGATCTTTAGACACCTGTGAAAATTTAAGAGATTAAATCATAGATACAGAAGCAATTTGATGAAAATAATACAATGATATTGTTGAATCCAAATCTATTTATGATAACAATAGAACCTTTCTAATAAGAACTATAAGAAAAATAGAACAAAAAGCAGAGTGTCTAGAGAGAAACTCTTAGAATTTTATTAGAATGTAGAAGCATAATACGTACAATAAAATTATTTGGTGTCAAACCTTCCTCCTGGCCCCCTTACCACCCAAAAGGCTAAATGAAAAAATAAAATATATTACAAGCTGACGAGTTGCTTGCTGTAAAAGAGCACTAGGCATATAGATAGAAATGCATAAAAGATATATATTGATAAGCATATGAAGTCGCCATTCAGTAAAGTCACAGACTGACTTGACCAAATGCTGTTGAGTAGCCTCTAAAACTGGGCAAGAATGCTTAATTGACCATTAAGCCATTCATTTCCTAAGCCAAGTTTATGATGAATTTAGAAATAATAATCTGCCATGTTTGTTAAGGAACTAGGCAAGTTCAATCATAGCAAATGCATTATGACCTTGGCAAATTTATTATAGCGAGTCAATTATGGCTTTGGGCAAGTTCAATGTAGCTTGGGAGACAACACTAGCTTTGGTGAGTTCAGATTAGAATTGGTTCATTCCCATTGAACAATAGCAAGTTCACCAGACGAGTTTATATCAATCATTGCAATTTCACTAATTTTCTAACTCAGCTTAAATGTTTTTAAAATCTTGAACCAGATAGATTCGAACTAAGATGACAAAATATTTGAGTATAGACCTAGTTCCCTAATTCTCTTATATTTTTAAAAAGCGACTTGCAAAAAGAAAAAGAGAGTTAAAAAAAACATATTATTTTGTTTAAAAAAATAATTAAAAAAATTTGGAGAATTTACTATCCAGATAAGTTGTTACATTGATGCAACTCAACTTACACGTCAGTGGTAATGGAAGCCTAAAAATATGAGCAAGACGTTAGCATTAGAAATTACTCCATTTTATTGTCTTCTTCCTCTAAACCATTCTGTAACTCTTGTTCAAGCTAAGAAGGCCTGCATCCCTCTAATGAAAGTGGATGCCGAGCCAAACGAAGAATTGCTTCAAAATATTCTGGAAAAGCAAAGAAAGGATGAATCAAAATGAAAAAAAAAAATGCATTCCTTCTCAACAAATCACCAGCCCAAAAGGTGAAATTGGAAGAAGTTCAAGCAAGTAAAGTAATGGAGAGTACTAATGTAGTTGCTACTGCAACGACTTTCATGAGCAATGCAACGACTTTCATGAGCAATCCCATTGTCGATCCTACAAGTGGGCCAGTAAGCGACTGAACTGTTCCTTCGGAAGTGCCTATAGTTAAATCTACAACTCTGCCAACTCAATTAGATCACAAAAAAATGAATTATGAATTTTTAAAAGCATAATTCAGTGAATTTCATCAATTTGCCTTGAAGCAATTCAATCAAGTTATTGTTAGAAGATAAAAATGATCAACCCGCCATCAACAAACAAATTGGTTCGGTTTTTTCTTTAAACTATCAGCATCATAGTTCATTGAACATGAGTAAGGTATTTGGTGAAGAATGGAGTAGGAATGACGAGCTAGCTCAAAATCCTGCAAAAACCATGAGTTTATCTTCTTACTATCATCCTTCGATATAAGATTTACAGTGTTTTGCCAAGGCTTCTCTTAATATTTTTATTACAAAAAAATCCCTCTTCCTGAGTTTCTATAAATTAGACAAAATCAAAGGATGCCTTCAATATGACTTTAGTGAAAACTCCAAGAGAACCACTGGTGACCAAATTTTAATGAATTATGTTAAAGTCAGCCTAACAATGAGTTCAATTATAACTACCAGAAAAGCGAAATATGAAATTCTTGCATCTTTCTCAAAGAATACAATGCTATTCCAATCATACTAAAGTACCCCAACAATATATCACATAAGAAAGTCAAATATTTAATGACTCTGTTTTGACTATGAAGTCTTCTGTACTTTTTGTTCAAAGGCTTGCAAATTTGGATAGTGCCAATTTATAGATCGAAGTATTTCATCGGGAGCTTCTGCTGGATGAGAAGAAAAAATATGCCTTCAAGGAATTAACAATTAATTTGACAAGGATCATTCTTCCACGGTCTTCACAAAATCGTCAATGCTCTTTGCCGAGAAGTTTAAGAATTGAAGATTGAGGTTGTTTAAACTAGGAAGTTCTTAGAGTTGTTCATGTTAAGCCAATTCTTCGTTGGTAGCAAGTTAATCTTACTACAGCTTATCCATATTGAAATGAATCTAGCTTCAAAAAAAATTCTAGTGACCTTTCTTTGACAGCAAATATTGCAGAATGATCGACTTCAAGTCACACTTGCTTAAATCTATCTTGGAGAACTTCTTTAATATTTTTACATGTTGAATTCTATGTGAGATCTTCTATTAAAGTCATTTTATTATTTGTATGTTTGTCAACCTAATATTGTTATTCAATTTCAATCATCATTTATATGAAAATATTAACAATTATTTAAATTTAAATGAAGTAAAATATTTTTATTATAAATATAAATTTTGATTTAAATTATCTGAATTATTTAATCAAGGCCTGTGAATCACTTTACACTTTCAGTTGAGCTTTCTATTATCTCTTCTAAACTCTATTCTTCTTTGCTCTTTGCAAATCGATTCCATGGCTTCCTCACTAAAGAAAAGCCTGTGAACTTACAAAGATTTTGAGCATACTGACACTTTTAACAATTACACTTTCTCTTGCAAAGGTCATGCATTTTAGCTACTGCTGATGAAAACTTCATTATTCAAGTTTAAAATAAAAGCATGTACCCAAATGCTATATGATGATGCGTTATATTTTTATAGGATCCAGTTTAGACTTCTACTAGGACTTCGACGTCTAAAATTTTTATGGATTAATAACCGCCCAATTCATATTGAAGCTTTAACAGATAAATTTTTTATTGATTTCATACCCTACAAAAAAGGAAATTCCTTTGAGTACTGTATTCTTCAGACATTCTTCTCAATCATGGCTTTCAAAAGTAGATGTGTGCTCTTCCCATAGAACCATGTGAGAATTGTTAGCTTATAGAAAAAGATTAAGATATTGGAATCCAAAGTTTTCATCATAAAGCTATAAGAAGTCCGATTAAGACCAAAACTATATGCCTTTGCTAAGAAAAAGATGGACCTTCCACATTTGTTGATTAACGAGTACTAGAAATATATCAAGCTTAAGGATACTTGACTATAAAGTTTCATCTCTCTATATTGTGAGAAAAACATTTGATGGTAAGTAGTCCATCTTTTAATTTATGCATTATTTTATTTAGCAGACTTGCAACACTTTTTTTTAATGTTATTTGCTCAAGAGAGTCTAAAATGAAGGAAATTCCAGATGACCATGAGGTTACAAAATATTTGGAGGAAGGGAGAGCTAAAAAAGCATGGAGGGTCAAGAAAACAAAGGCCGAATATCACTTTTGAAGAAGATGAAGATTTTGATGTAGACCTATGCATACTGCTACCACTAATGAGATTACAATGAGTTCCACTGCTCTCTCCACTTCAACATGTCAATAACATCAACTGCATCTTCTATTGATCTCTGTCATCCATATAGCCAATTACTTTAGCGAGTTCTTTTAGTCCACCAACTCAACCTTCTGAACCAACTACAACTTCTGCAGTCGGTCTTCCAAAGTCCACCAAATCAATACCCAAGAATTCTACTCATCCAAAAAACTTTGCTCAATTTGCCCTCATGGAGTAATAAAAAATGAGGACTTGACTAAGAGAAAATCTAAGGCCTTGTCTTGAATCGCTTTCTGTTCTCTGCTTTTTTTTTTTGAAAACAAAAAGCCAAAAAACAAACCCAAAAATAACGCTTGTTTATTCTTTTTTTTTCCTTTTTAATTTTACATCAAAAACACACAAATTATTTTTTTGTTGTTTTAAAAACAAGTTTTTCATAGCATTACAAGTGTAATGATTCGCCGCCCGCAACACACCGGCTATCAGTCGCTTCCTGCTACCCATCTCTGCTGGTCCCCGACGCCGGCACCGTCTGCCACTGCCGCCCGCTATAACCAGCCTCTGTCAGCCACCGCTCACTGGAGCCGGCACCAACACGCCCCACCGCCCATCGCAGGCCCCCGCCACCAGCTGCAGCAACAATCCGACGCCCAGGCCATCGCCACCATCTACAGCCGCCATTTAATGCCTGCCGCCCGCTCGCCCGCCCACAGGTAATGTTTCATGCTGGGTTGACCAAGGAAGACATCATATATACCATAGGCGACAGCGCTTAGTACTAGAGCGCACGTAAACTCAACCATTTTATAAAAGGCATAATTTTTTCTTTAAGAAAAAATAAAAAATACCCAACCAAACATGTTTTATATTTTTTGTATTTAAAAATATATAAAAAATAATAGTACCAAATACATTTTCTAAAAACACAAAACAGAAAACAAAACAAAAACAAAATAGACTAAAAAATAAAAATAGAAAACAAAAAGTGATCCCAAAGAGGCCTAAGGAAAAAAAACAAAGCTAACATAAGCGGTCTAAAGGATAAAGCAAAGCAAGTTGCCACTCACCTGCTCAAGGAATAAGGAGCTTCCAACCATGACACAAAGAAAAGATTTACTTTCGAGAGATAACGACCATTCCATTGCTCAGAATGGCCATAGTTTTGACGCAACACACCTTGAAGATAGTGTCACGCCAGTTGCTTATGATCTCAGTCCAATCATTTTTTCATCAACTACTCATGAAAAACTTTATGACGTGGCTTCAATAAAGTATCATCTTGCACGAATTAGGGTAAGAGTGGTAGCAGACAAATTTTTTTATAACTAGAGAACATAATAATACTTTATAAACAAAACATAAAAAGTTAATCTTGATCATGTGGTTTGAAAGCCAAAAAAGAAAAGTTAAAAAAAAATATTTAAAAGAAGAAAAACTTAA